ACTTACAATACTTTTTCCTTTTAATTTCTCGGGTGAGGGAAAGACATTCCCCCTGTCAACTTGACTTGACCATCCTTATAGAGTTGGTCAAAAATCAAGTCTGCCTTCGAGACATCAAAGGAGTACTTCCTCGGCTGAATGAGAGCACGATTGGGTCTCCCCCCTTGTGGTTCATCTTCAACTTTAGACAAAGAAGCACATATGTATGGCTTCTCTGGAATTATCTCAGCCAAGTCTACCTCAACCTCATTGGCCTCATGGCCAACATGATTGATGGTATAGTCTAAGTTTGGGAAGTATGGTCCCCTTGATGCACTCCTACGATTCTCTTCCTCATTTAGAAGAGACTCATACCTCACGGCACATGACATGAGTTAGAACAAGTCAGAGAACTCCCTATCTTGGAAATTTTTTCCTTAGTTCAAAACTCAAACCCCCTTGTGCCAGCTTGACGAACTCCCTCTCCGTCAAATTGACAAAGCAACGGTTAAGGGCATTCTTGAAGTTAGTCAAGAAATGCCAATCGATTCCCCTGGCTGTTGGTGCATACGTGCCAAGTCAGCCATGGACACCTCGGGCTCAGATCTATAAAACTGAGCGTGGAAGACTTGCTTCATCTGTTGCCAAGTCTGATGGAGTTAGACGACAAGTTAACATACCAAGCAAAAGATGGCCTTGTCAACGAGTTGCCAAATAGTCTTAACTATACGAACTCTCCTACATTGCCACATTAGACAGTGAAACGTCCAACATGCTCTACAGTAGACTGATATCCAGTCCCTATGAACGTGGCAAACTCAGGAACCCTGAATCATCTTGGAAATGGGTGGAGCCTGTCTACCCATTCTAGGTACGTCTTACGATATATAGGTGGCATGGCAGGTCTTACTCCCATACCAAACTGCTCCGTGAGGAGTTGAGCCACTTGATTCCTAAGGGTGTTGGTGTCATGCCCCCATACGACACAAACCCAATGGGATCCATGCCATGCCCATTGAAATGGGGTGGCGTTGGAGTTGGGAAGCCTCGTGGTGGGATTGGATCCATGTTGCCACCTAAACCTCCTCTTACTCCCAAATTCATGGGAGCCACGTAGGGTCTTGCCTCCGGGATAGAGGGATGAGCACCCCCTTGCACGGATGGTTGCTCAACATGAGTGTTGAACATGGTGGCGAGGTTCTCACCGTGCGGAGGTACCACTTCAACTTCCATGCGTGCCTGTGACGATTCCCCCACTTGAGCAGTAGCAGGAATCTCAACATCACCTACTCGACGTGGAGGTGGAGGTGGTTGGCTTGCCGTCTGAGGCGGCAAGTTCTCTTTCCATGTTTGGCCATTCCGACCACCGGCGGGAGAAAGAACACAATTAGCAGGCATTAGGCCTGCGCCATCTAATGGCAAAGCTCTTGCCTGCACTACTGGTCTACTTAAAGAATTTCGGAGTTGATCCAACTCATTTGTATTTTTGTTGACTACTTCAAGCAATTGACTCAAATGTCTATCTAGGCGGGAATTGAGACAATCCATTTGAGAATATACCTGATGAGTACCGGCCGAGTCTCTTCCAACATGCGATGGTTCTCCATAAGAATTTGGCGGTTCTCCTCCGTGGCTCGAAGGTTCTCTGCCACCATCTTGCGGTTCTCCTCCGTGGCTTGATGGTTTCAGCCACCATCTTGCGGTTCTCCTCCATCATCTAACGAAGGGCCCCCACTGCCTCACCGAGATCTCCACCAGGCGTGGTTGCCACCAAGATCTTTGCTCCGCCATTTCCTCCGGTCATCGCCTCTGATGCTTGGCCATGCTCGATGTTGGCCACTTGCTCCTCCGCGAATCCAGCCGGAATGTCACCTTCTTGATTCCTCCGCCTCGAAGCCATCGAATCGACCACAAGTGTCCCACCAGGTGTGCCAAATTTGTTTTCCGGCGAGAAAACTAGCTTTGAATGAGAATTGAATGCACCTTGACTTATTTTGACAGCGATCACTAAACACGGTTCACAACTCTTCAAACACTGTTCGAACGAGGGCGTTCGATGTTTACATGACTCTCGAGACAGATCTACATTAAGTTACTTCTACTCCTATATGGAGGTTCTGAGAGAGCTCCATATCTACGACTACTGATACAAAATTGCAGAGGAAAAATAAAATTGATAAACTTGACAAGTGGTGTCGAGTGGTGATTTTTGCGGGCCGATCCCTGTCAATCTATCCTCCTATTTATAGCCGTGAGTGAGTACATGTCGTAGAAAAAACTGTCTTGGATAACTCCCAAAAAGAACTGCTCCCTGCTTCCACGGAACGTGGCTGACGTGTCCTTTGAATGTGGGATGAGTACCAGTTATCTCTCAGCTGCCTAGGTACCCCTCTTGAAACAGTCTTGGGACTTGGAGTGCAGCTCGCCTCATAGCTCACGATCATGGACTTCTTTACTCATGTCCATGGCCCTCTTGGGACTTAGTCTCTAGTGATATAATACTCCACCACCATGTCATTCTCCTTCGTGTCCATGGCCCCTCTCGTGAGGCGGCAATGCCTTCTCAGAATTATAATATGGCATGGCTTCTTCGCTCGCACCCATGGACCTCTCAATCATGGACATGGCCTCCCTCATGAAGAAGCAAGTCTTTCCCATACTTAGACTATTCGAACTTGGTCATGAGGCGTCATGGCCTCTTCGTTCGCGGCCATGGACCTCTAAGTCATGTTCGTGGTCCTTCCTGTGAAGCGGCATGACCTTCTCAATCTCTAGAGGGGCATGGCCCTCCTCTTTGAAGCGGGACATCATTCTCTATACTTAGAATATTTTCGGTTGTTTGGTTTAGATCATGAGGCGGCATGGCCTCTTTATTCACGACCATGGACTCTTCATTCATGTATGTGGCCCTTTCCGTTAGACGGCATGGCCACCTCATACTTAGTATTTTTCAATCGTGCCCACTATGGTCGTCACATATGACATGGCCATGGACCTCTTAATCATCCACATGCCCCTTCTCGTGAGGCGGCATGTCCTCTTCGTGAAGTGGCACGTCGTTCTCCTTGAAGAGGCACGTACCTCTTCCAGACTTAGTTTAATTTTCACTCAATCGGTCTTGGTCGTGAGGCGGCATGGCCTCTTCGTGAAGTGGCACGCCCTTCTCGATACTCGTACCGGGGTCTTCCTTGAGATGGCATGTGCTTCTAAATTCTAGATGGACATGGCCCTCTTCGTTGAGGCAGCATGTCCCTCTCCAGACTTAGTGGCTTTAGCTTAATATCAATATCCACAAAGCCCAACTTAAACAATATTAATTGTTATAATGAGTGTGGCCTTATAAACTCATTAATTATCTTGTAACTCACCAATATGGTACAAGACAAAATTTATAGTGTAAACAGATAGATATCCATTCCCACAAAAATTTCAATACTGAAATGAGACCATTTCAAATGGGTAGGGAATTGACACGAAGTAAACGAGTGAGAGACTTGGAGGAGGGATGACCGAGTCGGTGGTGCCATGATTGAGCAGAATGACGAGTGGTCACCAATGCCAACCGAACCACTGATGCCCCTCCCGGAAGTTCGTAGGTATCACCCTTGTTCCTACCTCTCAGCAGTGGCGGCCTCGTGCGAAGGTCCTTAACAATAAAAAAACCAGAGAAGAATTCCACCGAAATCGGGTTAGTGCGACATAGTTTAGCAATAGAGATTAACCGTTGCTTGATAGAAGGAACATACAACACATCTGTAAGTGCAAGGGAGCGAGTAGATGTAGACAGTGTGGATGAACCGATATGAGTGATACGCAAAGCTAAACCATCACCAAGATAAACCTCATGAGGACCCGTGTAGTCAGAGTAGATGCCAAGATTGCCGAGATCATTGGTCACATGATGAGTAACTGCCGAGTCCATAAGCCAGGAGCCATCATGTGCAAAAGAGTTGGATTGCGTGTTGTGAGCCTGAGGATGCTTGTGAGGATGAAGTTGATAGCACTGTTTTGCGGTATGGCCAGGTTTGTCACAGAACTGACACAGAACACAAGATGGACTTCGAGACTCCCCATCATCCGCATTGTGAGGGGGCTCCTAGGACGACGCAGAGTCGCCATAATGTGGCGAGGAGCCACGGCCGCCGCCACGACCAGAGTTGCCACCACGCCATCCACGAGCTCCACCACGGCCACGGTGAGTGTTGTACGCGGTTGGAGGAGACAGGTGAGAAGCACGGCGAGCCTTGATGTCCACTTTCAGGGACAGCAGGCGGTCGAGAAGATCCTCAAGGGTGGGCGGAGTTTCGCGAGCCTTAACACCGGCGGTGAATTCATTGTAGTCATCGCCAAGGCCACGAAGGCATAGGGAAACAAGTTCATCATCATGAACAATCGTGCCAGCAAGAGCCATATCGGATGCTGTAGAGCAAAGGGATTGGACGAACGTGGAGACATCACGATCACCCTTCTTCTCCGCTAGTAAACAATCACGCAGAGACATAACGCGTGATTGGGAGGAGTTTGCATACAACCGAATGAGGGTTTGCCATGCGTGGGCTGTCGTCGGGGCGATGCTGATAAACGGGCACACGCTTTCTAAGGCGGAGGCCAGAAGTGAATTGTGGAGAAGCTTGTCCTGTCGAAACCAGTGAGTGTAGGCTAGATTGCGGATAGTAGCACCATCAACTTGAGTTGTCTCAGCTGGCTGTGGAGTCGTACCCTCGAGGTAGCCTAAAAGATCAAGGCCTTGTCGGAGAAAGAGCAGCTGGGAACGCCACGAGGGAAAATTGGATGACGTGAGCTTCAAGGGAAGGGTTGATGCGGTGTTGATGGTGACCAGTGACGGCAGTGTTGCATCGGAGGTGTCAGCGGACGAGACAGAGCTATTGACCGACATGCTGAACACGACTAGAGGCTGACGACTGGAGAAGCAACGCTGAACGTGGGCGTGGAAATGCAAGCTGTCGACGATGAGCTAGGGTTTGAGATCAAAGATTTGAAGCAAGAGGCTATGATACCATGTAAGGAATAATATCTTGTGTGTTATTATGAACATAGTGAGGGGTATTTATACCCACATGTGTACAGGTTTACATGTAGGACAAGGAAAAAGAGTTACATATGAATAAGGAAACTTAAGATGACTTGGATAAAGTCTTATCCCTAATATATTACCACTAGTTAATATTCCACTTCTTTCTTCCAACATTGGGGAAGAGTTATAAAGCGACCGGCAATACATAATATAAGTCCAAGGAAGTTGATCATGTTCCTCATCCTGTTTCCTTCCATGTTCGAGAGATAATATATTACCACTACCACTACAAGCTACTCTGTGTCTGAGCCTGAGCCTGAGCCTGAGCGACCTGCCAATTGATACTTTGCATAATCCTTTGCCTCACTGTCACCGAACTCACACCCTCCAACAGGAGGATGGTAGAAACTTTCATCCACTACATAGCTCGGACAATGCGCACAACCTCTGCGTATATCTGCAAGCACCGCCACCAACCACCATCATCATTAACTTGAAATATACCCCTCCCTCCCTCCCTCCCTCCCTCTATAAGCAAGCAGCTAAGATGATGAGACAGTTAAGTAACTAATTGCTTACCACTTCTAGTCTCATCCAAGATGAGACAATGACGAACTTCGGGTGGAGTCCCGTAGCCTTTCCTTGTCTCAGAGAAAAACAGCTCAATGGGAGGGTTGTTTTCGCCGGCCGAAGGGCCGCCAGTGACATTCTTGGCCTTGAAGTTGGCGTGAATAACGAGTCCATCGGGAAAGAGATTACACCAGCTGAGTAGGGGGGCAACAAGGGCATAGCTTGTGCCCTAATCCTCGAAAAAACAAGCAAAATTGGCATCAGCTCAATGGGAAAAGGACTTGCAGGCTAGATAGCTAGGGAACCAACTACTAGTGAGAGAATAAGAAACTTTGAAAACCAATCAGATCGAACAACCTCCTTCTCGTTGTAGAAGTTCAGAGATATGTTTGCAATGACGGTAGTATCTCTAAGCATTTTATCATGTTCTTCAGGATCATGATAGTCAGGACCCCTGCAATGTAAAAGTCCCATTATTTTACATCAGAATCCATGAATGAAATAATCATAAAATCAAATCAGTTAATTCCCATAATTTTACATCAGAATCCATGAACAGAATCATCATAAAATCAAATCAGGCAATGAATCAAACGAAGACAAGCAAAAGACCAAAACCAAGCCAAGCATCTACAAATATGTAAGCAAGGAACCACCAAAATCTCTGGCTTCGGAGTCGAATCCTAAAACCAACATCCATAACGTACAGCAATGGAGACAACAACAAGAAGAGGGAACCCAACTCTGGATAAGCAAATCAAACAGCAAAATTGGACACTTAACATCATCGATCTGAAACATGAACTCCATACTAATTAATCAGGAAAGAAAACCCTAGCTAGCTAGCTAAAACGCACTCATCGATGTATGGCAGTGGTTTCTTGTCTCCAGATACGGCCGCTGGACAAAGAGACGCTGCCGCAGCCGGCTGATCTCCTGCGGCCGCCTCCTTTTCGGCCGACGCTGCCGGTAGGGTATCGTCTGAAGATACCACCGCCGCCAGATTAAGGGCCGACGAAGACGACGATGAAGGCGCTGCCTCTTCCATCTTTTGTCTCTTGGGAGAAACAGGTACGTCCACCGCTTGCCCCTCCATCTCCAAAAATGGCTTTGTTTTCCTTTTTGCGCCGCGTGAACGACCGGAGTGGTGGGGAATGGATCAGGTCAGTAACTTTATGGTGAGTAACCATGAGTAACCCGTCCACATCAGCATGACATCAGCATCCTCTCTCTCATGGAAAGCCTTTAATTTTTCCCTCTTTAATTTTTGACGGACGATTTCTCACTCATTTTAAGTCGAAATTTAATTTTTTTTGCACAGTTAGATCAGATTAATTGTGCTCTTCAAAATGATATCCACTTTAATATATTTTTCGAACAAAAAAAAATTGAGCCATTTTTTATCAGCCTATACCATATGGTATTGACTGGTATTGAAATAAAAGCATACCTATGTTTTGAAAAACGTACCATGGTGGTATAGACAAACCAATACTGTAGGATGGTTGAATACATGATAGTAGAAGTATATTAGTTGTAATTTACGACTTTTAACATTGTATACCACACAATACCACCCCGTACCAGGGTGGTATTGTATGGTATTGTGTGGTATTTTTTGGTCCTGTAATTTGTTCACCCAGAAATTTGTAGATCCAATAGATCATGATGAACTCGTCCCTTCTGTGCAAACATTTTCAAAAACGAATTAAAAATGAAGAAGATACCATACAATACCACCCTGTACCAGGGTGGTATTGTATGGTATTGTGTGGTATTTTTTGGTCCTGTAATTTGTTCACCCAGAAATTTGTAGATCCAGAAGATCATGATGAACTCATCCCTGCTGTGCAAACGTTTTCAAAAACGAATTAAAAACGAATAAGATACCATATGGTATGCAGTTGGTACCGAGAGGCCAGAATTTTTTTTCCTAAAAAAATATTGAAAATTGATCTCATTTTGTAGAGCACGGTGAACTCGTTCCATCTGTGCAAAAAAAATTAAAATCCGAGTTAAAACGAAAAAGGTATGAGTCAATTAAGAAATCTAGTGAAAATAAAAATAGCTTTTAATTCTCCATCCTTAGATCTAGATTTTCTAAATGAAGGGTCCAGATTTGGTTATTGATGGGTGCATAACCCATGGTTATGCACCCTATCTTGAGCCGGAGTGGTGCTTCTTCTTCTTCCTCCTCTCTTCTGTATATGGAACTAGCACGGAGCCCGGCCGATTGGCCGGGTTGCTCCTAAAATATTTCTTGTTTTTCTTTTATAGTGGTGTATTTCTTTCTGTTGCATAGGATTAGGACAGAAGTAATGAAATAGTTCGTAACTCTAATTTATTTGTCATAGTTGAGGAAAAAATAATTATATAGAGCAAAGATGGATATATAGAAATCAAATACTTGGATTAATTTTTTATATTATTAAAGCCGCTTTATGAAGAACATTTTTAAAATATTTTTAAAGTATTGGTATTTTAAAGTATAACTTGAAGTTATACATAACCTTAAAGTACAAATTGGAGTTGTACCATAACAAAAATGTACAACTTTAATTTGTACCATAAAGGGATTTTTTAAAAAGTATAGGTACAACCTGAAGTTGTACCATAATGTTCAAGGTACAACTTCAAATTGTATCATAGGAAAAAACTAAATCACCAATGCTTTAAAGCATTGTAAAATTCCTCCTTTATAAAATATAATACTAAAGTAAGCGTAGAAAATAAGAACTAAAATAAAGTGATCATTTCACATATTTACCTCAAATTTTGGTACATTTATACATAAACATCGAACTCTCCACCCAATAGGCCGGACCCATATCTAATAACATGTAATACTAATTTTAGATGAGTTTGGATTTCAGACCATCATAAAAGAAAATACTATTCTACACAAAACTCCAGCAATGGATCAAAATTAAGGTTGTCAACCTGGTTTAACCCATTGGTCCGGTCGAGCAAGTGGGGTGAGAGTTAATGGATTGACCGTTCTAGCCAGTTTAGCTTGGATATATGGAAATAGCAATTTTACACGAAACAGGTAGGAGGGGAAGTGACAAATTAACCCTTCCGATACACGCGGTTTGATCAGCAGAGGATGACGTGGCAAACACTTTTTATTGACATTGCCTTATATGTTTTTTAGATTATGGATATAGCGAGCGCTTCTCCTGGGGCTCCCATCTCTCTTGGGAATTCAATTGGGCCGAGTGGGCCTTTTCCCACCCAGCTCACATACATTTCCACTCATATTTCCCAAGGCCCAAGTGTCATGAAGAATGCCGTGGTACGATCCCTCCCTCAAATTTTTTATCATGGCAATTTAGTAGTTAAAATATTTTAAATTTCGTAGTGGTACAAAGTTTAGATGTTTTTTAAACATACATCTATCTATCTATCTATAAATCCAGTTTATCTTGCATCTTTAGTTTGATTGGTTCAGACTAGCGTACCACCGTCGTACGCTGTGCGCCTGTGTTCACACTTGTTAATAATTTTTAATTAGTTATATTAAGAATAATAAAAATTACAAGCATACCTATAAATTTATTTCAGAATACTATTTAGTCCCATATAATTTTTGTCGTCTTTCTGCTTAAATCAATCGTGTAAATTTTCAATTTAACATTTATAGTACCTCCTTTTTACTATTCATAATTTATAACACCCAAATTTCTTATCAACAATAAATAGTTCTGCGACACTTTATTACCTTCCTTTATTCTTTCTCTTTCCCGTATCATCTGAAGCCCCAGCACCCCAGGCAGCCACTCAACCCCTCTGTCTATTTGCTACTCTGTTTCTGCTTCGCTTTCCATTACCATATTCACTCTCCAAGTGCACTAATTCTTGACCACAGCGACGGCCCAAATGTTTCATCAATGATATTTGAAATGGTGAGTTTCATTAGTTTCTTTTGATTTCATTTGAAATTGTGGAAATCTTTGTTCAATTGATCGATGATCTTGAGATCTCATCCATGGTGAGTTTTGAGTAGTTGCATGTTATTCACTTCTGTCGTCAACTAAATACGGATGTCAATTTACTGGTTTTGATCCAATTCCTATGGGATGTATTCCTTGATCTCCCTCGACAGCTGACATCTTCAAATGTTTCTTGATTTCTTGTTCCAGCAAGCACAGTCAATGCTTATCAGTGCCCTTTTCAATAGATAATTGAGTGCAAATGGTCTCCATCTCAAACTCTTTTTGTTTAACCAGTTCAAGACAATTAATTAGCACCGGTGAAGGCACAATCCCACTAGTATTCGAAGGAAAATATTACTTCAGTACATTTATAGCGAGTAGAAGACAGTGACCAGGATCAAGAAACTATACCCAGTTGCTGAAGAGAGTCGTACTTTTGACAAATAGACCCAAAAGCTAATTCTTGAGAAGGGGAAGAAGGTCGGCGTTGGTTTTCTAAGTTCCATGACAGATCGAGCTCCTAAAGTTCTAATCCGCGCTCTCGCAAAAATTAGTTCGCGGATTTTTTGTGAACTCCTCGTAAATCGCGTTTTGGCGACTTGGAGCGGGAACGTTGAGGGTGGGGAGGCGAATTAGGTGACCTCGTCGTTGCTACCGCCACTGGCTTCCTCGACCTTTTGCTTCTTTGGCATCGATTCAAGCCTAGTTTTGCTCTGATACGCGCCCACAGCCCAGCAGCAGTTCTCGCCATTCAGCTCGGATTCCTCGGCCCAACAAGCGCTACCGCGAGTACGTGTAGCCCAGCTCGTCGCCGCAAGCTTGCCATGGTTTGTTAGTTGGTTAGGTGTTGATCGAGTCAATAGGTTTCCGTTGTTAGTCTTTTGAATTCAATAAGCTGTTCCACCTTAAGTGGAGTAGGAGTAGCTGTGTACGTGGAAGTAGTTCCACTTTTCCTTTCATTCTCTTAGTATAAGTAGCCTATGAGTCAAGAAATAAAAGGCAAGCAATTATTGAGTAAAAGTATCCTCCTGGTTGTTCTAGCCAAGAAAGTAGAACTCTGGCCTACTCCTGCCAAGAAAAGGGAGAACTATCTCGATACAACTTTTCACCGTATCATTTGGTATCAGAGCTGGTTTGGCCAAATGGTCTTGTGTTCGAATCTCCACGACCCCCAATATTAACAATTGATTAAAGCACAAGGTATGGTGGGCCTGTGCAAACTTCAAGCCCATGGGTTGGCTTTCGTTTGAGGGGGCGTGTTAGAAAGTGGTATAAGATCCAGCAGAACCTTCTCCCAACAACTCGAGTTATTGGGAGCAACTGGTTCTTGACATGGTATCAGAGCCCAGCATGGGCACACACGCCCAGCGCATCGAAGCTCTCGAAACCGCTACCCATGAGAATCAAACGGGCATTCAGGCGATCATTGATCAGTTGGCGGCTGTCCAAGTCGTCGTCAACAAAATCGCGCAAGATCAAGCAACGAAAAGCGACGAAAGACGTTCTGAGGATGGAGAGCGATCCGTCAATGGCCGTGGCCGCTATTCGGAGCTAAATTAGCTCGGCTGGAGTTTCCAACGTTCGTTGGCGACGATCCGACAGTCTGGTTCTCGCGAGTGGAGCAGTTCTTCGAGTTCCAAGCCGTTCCCGAGGGCCAGAAGGTGTCTCTGGCGTCGTACCACCTCGAGGGCGACGCCAACCAATGGTGGCAATGGCTCCGCCGGACTTATCGCACTGACGGGATCCCGATCACTTGGGATAATTTCTCGTCGGAATTATGGGCAAGATTCGGGCCCTCAGTGGCCACAGGGTTCGACGAATCGCTGTCCCACATCAAACAGACGGGGACTCTCCGGGATTATCAGACGGAGTTCGAGAGATTAGGCAACCGAGTTCGGGGTTGGACGCAACAGGCCTTAGTTGGCACGTTCTTGGGGGGCTTGAAACCCGAGATCGCTGACGGGATCCGCATCTTCAACCCGCGTACCTTGAAGGAAGCAATCAGCCTCGCCCGGGTTCGCGACGAGCAGCTCTCACGGGCCTACAGCCCTCCGCGCAGCTCATACCGCTCACCGGCCGATTTCACGACACCACCGCGACCTCGGCCCCGGCCGGCCTTCGACGCGGCGTTCGCGGCCAGACCACGACCAGTGGCCGAGCCTAACCCACCGATCCGCAATCGACCGCCACCGGCGACTGGGGGAAAGCGCCTGCCGTATGATGAGATGCACCGCCGACGCCAAGCCGGCCTTTGTTTTAACTGCGATGAAAAGTTTACGCCCACCCATCGCTGCGCCAGGCCTCGACTCATGATGCTGCTGGATGAAGAAGACGACGAGGTCCTGGACTCCGCCGAGGTCTCTTTTCACGCGATCACAGGCCAGACAGGGGGTAGAACCATGCGGGTCTGGGCTCAAGTGGGCCCAACTAAACTGGTGGCCCTCATTGATAGTGGCTCGACCCACAACTTCATCAGCACTAGGGCCGCCGAAGCACTCCAGCTGCCAGGTTCGCCCCTCTACATGAGGAAGTGATCCTCGATATTCAGGGCAGCCATTTTCCGGTCAACCTCTTTGCCTTGCCTCTTACCGGTTTTGATATCGTCCTCGGGATCAAGTGGCTGGATACCATTCACAGCAACTGGAAGTCACTGACGATGGAGTTCGAATGGGACGGGCAGCGTCGCAGGATCACCGGTCTCACCGGCATTACCACTTCCGCGACCGACATCCGCGGCCTCACAAGGGAAGAACCAGGCCTCCGCGCGATCTGTTTTCCCCCATCGGCTGACGATCCCCTTCGACCGGTACCTCGGGATTTGCAGGATCTCCTTCGTGAGTTTGGAGATCTTTTTGACGACCCCAAGCACTTGCCGCCGCGACGTGCCGTGGATCACCGCATTGAGTTGAAGGAAGGGACGGAGGCGGTGAACGTACGACCGTACCGCTACGCCCATTACCAGAAGGCGGAAATTGAGGCCCAAGTTCAGCAAATGCTCACCGCGGGTCTCATCCAGCCCAGCACCAGCCCGTTTTCCTCACCCGTTCTCCTGGTCAAAAAGAAAGACGGCTCATGGCGGTTCTGTACCGACTATCGGGCTTTGAATGCTGCTACGGTCAAGGATCGTTTCCCCATCCCCACCGTTGATGACATGCTGGACGAGCTCCATGGCGCGGCCTATTTCACCAAACTGGACCTGCGCGCCGGCTATCACCAGGTTCGCATGCACCCTACCGATGTGCCTAAAACTGCTTTTCGAACGCACAACGGGCATTACGAATATTTGGTCATGCCTTTCGGCCTCTGCAACGTGCCGTCTACATTCCAAGCCATCATGAATGATATTTTTCGCCCGGTCCTGCGCAAGTTTGTCTTGGTTTTCTTCGACGATATTCTCATCTACAGCCCGGATCGGCAGAGTCACTTAGAGCACGTCAGGATAGCTCTTGAAATTCTCCGGCAACATCACTTCTTCGTCAAGTTCAGCAAGTGTGCGTTTGGTCTTCAAGAGATCGAGTATTTGGGCCATATCATTACGGCGGACGGCGTCAAAGTGGATCCTCGAAAGATCCAAGCCATGAACGAATGGCCAACACCCACGTCCCCGACCGAGCTCCGCGGATTTTTGGGACTCACCGGATACTACCGCAAGTTTGTGAAGGGTTACGGCTTGATTGCTCGGCCTTTGACCAATCTCCTCAAGAAAGGCCAGTTCGAGTGGACCGACGAGGCTACGGCTGCTTTCCTGGCTCTCAAATCAGCCATGACTACGACCCCGGTGTTGGCAATGCCCAATTTTGACGTCCCGTTCATCATCGAAACGGACGCGTCGGGCTCGGGCCTTGGGGCTATCCTTATGCAATCGGAACGGCCCATTGCCTTCATGAGCCGGGCCTTAGGCAAGGCCAAGCAGACCCTCTCCACCTACGCCAAGGAAATGCTCGCCATCATCACCGCGATTCAAACCTGGCGGCCGTACATCTTGGGCCGGAAGTTTGTGATTCGCACGGACCAGAAAAGCCTGAAGCACCTGCTCAACCAACGAATTACCACGCCCGAACAGCAACAATGGGTCTCCAAACTATTGGGCTATGACTACGAAATCGTTTACAAGCCCGGCAAGGATAACCAGGCGGCCGATTCCCTCAGCCGCCGCCCTCCTGCTCCCGAACTGCTCGCACTCTCCATCCCTCACACGTCTCTATGGGAGTCCATCAAATCGACGTCACTATCGCATCCTTATATGCAGAAGGTTTTGGCACGAGCGAAATCCCCCACCCCCGGCCATTATTCGATTCGCAACGAGATGGCCTGCTACCGCCGTCGCGTCATCATTCCTCCCGGCTCGCCGCACGTCCGCGAGTTGCTCGAAGAATTCCACTCGACCCCTGCTGGCGGCCACTCCGGCGTCACCGCCACTTACCGTCGGCTGGCTTCCCAATTTTTCTGGCCCGGCATGCTGCGAGACGTGCGCTCCTTCGTCAACGCGTGCGACATCTGTCAACGCGCCAAGGCCTCGCACTTATCCCCCGCCGGCCTCATGCAGCCGCTGCCGATTCCTCAGGAGGTTTGGGAGGACATCTCGCTCGATTTCGTCGATGGGTTACCTAGTTCGGGCGGCAAGACGGTGATTTTGGTGGTCGTGGATCGCCTAACCAAATATGCGCACTTCTTAGCCCTGTCCCACCCCTACACGGCGCGTTCGGTGGCCGACAACTTCATCGCCGGCATCGTTCGTCTCCATGGCTTGCCGCGCTCCATCGTGAGTGATCGCGATGCGGTGTTTATGAGTCATTTTTGGCAGGAGCTTCATCGTCAATCAGGCACCACTCTCAGCATGTCTTCCTCCTACCATCCCCAGACTGACGGCCAAACAGAGGTCGTTAATCGTTGCGTCGAGCAATACCTCCGCTGTTTCACTCATCAGCAGCCGAAGAAGTGGCTCACGTCGCTCCCCTGGGCTGAGTTCTGGTACAATACTTCTTTCCATAGTTTGGCGGGCATGACCCCTTTTCAGGCTTTGTACGGGCGTCTTCCTCCTGCTATTCCATCCTACCGTCCAGGCGCGACTATGGTGCATGAAGTGGATCGTGCCCTCCTCGACCGGAATGAAGTCCTCGATGAGTTGAAGACGAACCTCGCTGCTGCCCAGAATCGCATGAAGCAAAATGCTGATGCTCACCGCCGTGAGGTCCTGTTTGCGGTGGGCGAGTGGGTTTACTTGAAGCTCCACCCATACCGCCAACACACGGTCTTCCGTCGCGCATCCCACAAGCTCTCCTGTCGTTACTTCGGGCCTTACATGATCACCGAACGAGTTGGGTCAGTTGCCTATCGTCTCGCCCTTCCTCCAGGCAGTAGGGTGCACCCGGTTTTCCATGTCTCACTCCTCCGCCGCTGCCTCAGCCCTCCACCAGCTGCCCCGCCTGCCGCTCCTCCGATCGGGGATGACGGATCCCTTCTTCTGCACCCTGAGGCCATTCTTGACACCCGCTGGACCAAGCGCGGTTCCCGCTTCGTCGAAGAGCTGCTGGTCAAATGGCAAGCATTGCCTGCTGATGACGCAACCTGGGAGCTCGCTTCCGAGTTCCACGATCGCTTTATTCAGCTCGGCCTTGAGGACAATGCCGTTGCTTCAGGGGGTGGTAATGATACGCGCCCACAGCCCAGCAGCAGTTCTCGCCATTCAGCTCGGATTCCTCGGCCCAACAAGCGCTACCGCGAGTACGTGTAGCCCAGCTCGTCGCCGCAAGCTTGCCATGGTTTGTTAGTTGGTTAGGTGTTGATCGAGTCAATAGGTTTCCGTTGTTAGTCTTTTGAATTCAATAAGCTGTTCCACCTTAAGTGGAGTAGGAGTAGCTGTGTACGTGGAAGTAGTTCCACTTTTCCTTTCATTCTCTTAGTATAAGTAGGCTATGAGTCAAGAAATAAAAGGCAAGCAATTATTCAGTAAAAGTATCCTCCTGGTTGTTCTAGCCAAGAAAGTAGAACTCTGGCCTACTCCTGCCAAGAAAAGGGAGAACTATCTCGATACAACTTTTCACCGTATCATGCTCGAGCCGGAGCCGGGGGTGGGGTGGAGCCTTCGCTTTAAGGTTCGGGACTAGCATCCAAAGGCAGAGACGCGATCTGCTGGACATCCATGGCTGAAAACGAGAACCCCTAGGGTTGGGAGGGGAAACGAACGAAATTGGGGATCTCGATTCTGAAATCTTCCCATCACAAGCTTGCTGACATTCAATATTAATATTATGCATTGTGAAACAAGAAACGAAAACAATTACACTATTTATTGTTGATAAGAAATTTGGGTGTTATAAATTATGAATAGCAAAAAGAAGGTACTATAAATGTTAAATTGAAAATTTACATGATTGATTTAAGTAGAAAGACGGGAAAATATTATTTTGGACTAAATAGTATTCCGAAATAAATTTATAGGTATGCTTGTAATTTTAATTATTCTTTATTATTTACTCAATTATAACTAATTAAAAATTATTAACAAGTGTGAACACAGCCGTCCAGCGTACGACCGTTGTATGCTAGCCTTTGCCATATATATATATATATAAATCGGTGGGTTCCTATTCATCAAAAAGGGGTGCTAGCAACAACCTTCCTAGCTAGGTAAAATGCTAATCACAAGATAAGTGACAGTTCAACAAAATACAGCTTACTCAAGAGCTATTAAAACAGAAAGTGATAGGTACATGACCCAGAATGGACGAACTCTTTGACTACCCAACATATATTCAACTTCATCTTTGATTAACTTCAACAACGTGCGACAATCTCTCTTCTCAGCTAAGTATAAACGACAACATCTTTCCCTCCAAATATGGCTCACCCATGCCTCCAAAATGATCCTCCCTGTTTCAGCAGCCTCTATCATGACACCAAACTCTGAAACCATCAGAATCAACTCATCCTCCCATCTCTGTGACGTAGGAATCTACATAAATCTACAAAAAATAGACTGAAAAATCTGTCTCGAGAATGGACAATGAACATAGATATGGTCTCTGTCTTCAACCCCTTCATCACACAGACAACATGCCATACTTCCACCAAATCGCCACTTTTGCATCTTAACCTTTGTGTTTATGCTACCTCTGATAACAAGCCAGGTGATCACTCGATTTCTAGGAATAGCCTTTCCTTTCCAAACAAGTTTCCACCAACCTATAGTTTGTTGAGCATGTCGTAGAAGCTTCCAACCCCACTTGATAGAGAATGAAGGCATAGGGGCTTTATTCAGGAGAAGGAGCCCCCTCTGAACGAAATGAGAGCTTCAACTTTCCCCATCAGCTTCAGTAACTTGTGCCAGTTCCAGGACCCAGACGTGCAAGTGTATCTCCAGAAATCCCTGCCCTTCAGCTTGTATTTGTTTATCCAAGCAACCCAAAGCGAGCCTTCTTTTACAAGAATCAGCCATATATGTCTAATCATGCAGGCCTGGTTCCAACTCCATAAATCCCTAAACCCAAGGCCACCTTCTTTCTTCGGATAAGTAATCTTTTTCCACACCACATTAGCTCTGAGCTTCAATCCCACTCCAACTCCCCATATGAAGTTACTACATATTCTTTCCACCTCCTTAATGACAGATTTAGGCAAGAGAAAAACTGACATCCAGAATTGAGTAAGGCTATATAAGACTGTCCCAACTAGCTCGATTCTGCCAGCATATGAGAGAGCTTTAGCTTGCCAACTTTTAACTTTAGCTACCATTTTGCCAATAAGAGGTTGACAAGCAGCAAAGCTGAGTTCTCCTAAAATCAGAGGAACCCCGAGATAACGAACAGGTAATTTACCAAGTTGATATCCATATCTGGCAGCTCTAACTTGCCTCTCAACCGTTTCAAGAACACCAAAGAAGATTTCACACTTGCTAGGGTTTGACTTAAGTCCAGAAGCCTTCTTAAATTGAGCTAGAATTCTCTACAATTCTTGGATTCCATAATTTGAGCCATCCGAGAAGACCAAAAGGTCATCCGCAAAGCATAAATGGGTTAACTGAATGCCTTTACATATAGGATGGTATGGGAACAGACCCCTAGCAGCTGACTGATCGATCAAGCACGAAAAAACCTCCATTGCTATAGAGAAAAGATAAGGAGACAAGGGATCTCCTTGCCTAAACCCCTTCCTAGCTGAGAAGTAACCAACTAATCCCCCATCCTCCACCGGATGGC